TTCTCTATTTCTTTATGTAAGCTGTTTTTTCTAAAAAAATTATATTTCTTTAAAAAAAAAAAGCAATAAGTTAAGTTATTATATGAAGAATTTTAATTGAATATTATAATTGTTTATATTTATTAATGATTTCATTAGTGCCAGAATGGTTAATCATTTAATATTTCGAAATTAGATAGTTAATGAATTCAAGATTATTTATTTTTCAATTTTATTCATAAAGTCTGTTTCAAAAATGAAATTTTATAATTTTTCATGAAATTTTTTCTGGAAATATATTAAACCACAAAATATTTTATATATTTTACCACTTAATTTTCAAGTTAACTTACCTAATTGTGGTAAATAAAGATTTTGTCAATGGCCTGAAATCTTCATTGAGAAATCTGTGAATTCAGTTAAAAATCCAAGGTTGGAAGATAATGCCAACATACTTTAAATGTAGAAAATTAGTTAATGCTTTTGTATTTTAACTAATTAATTAATATCTTTTGAATATTTTTAAATTATTTATTAGTAAACTTATATTGACAAAAATCTATTTTCTATATGTCATTTTTGTGCAAACGCAGTTGTGTAATTCTGAGATAGCTCTTGTAACAATATTCTTTCTGCAACATGAGATGGTAAAGTTGTTCGTCTATAACGGCATTAGCACGACTACGTGTAGTCTCACCTTGCAAGTAAACAGTAATATCATGCAGTCGAACGGATTGTTGCTCGTGCAGAGTACGTTATTTATTGACCATCGAGAAGCTGCGACAGCAACTGAGAGAATAATCTTTAATATATTATATTGTGCGAGACATAAATAATAAATTTGTGTGTGTATATGGTATTATGACGTGAAGTATTGTCTATTTTTGATAGTATTTATGTGGAAGCTCAGAGAGAATAATACAAGAAAGCAGAAAGGATAATAAAGGAAACAAAGATATGTAAAAGGAATTATTCTGCGAGATTTTTCATATAGGTACACGTAGATTTATGGAACTGTGTTAATAATGTTTAAAAGTACATATTTTTACACTTTTGCACTTAATTAATTAAATTCCACAGTAATTAATTTAAAAAATTAAAGGAGACAATGGAACTAATTTTTACATAGAAACTAATTTTCATTAAATAGCAAAAATATTTATTTCAAACATTCACTTTTGTGAAATGAATTTTAGGTGCTCAGAACAATCTTTTACACAAGAAACTCTTGAAAAATCGATTAAATTGAGCAGAAATTAAATTTACAACTATGCTTCTCGCATGTGTATTAGTTACAAGAATGCAATCGTTTGGAAATAATAATTCGTATTATATAGCACACATATAGCAGGAAATATTGATTCTATCATTTAATTTCTGTGGACTGAAGTTATATAGTTATAGTAGTGAATAGCTTAATCAGTTATTTAGATGCAGGGATTCAACTTCCGGTTCGAGGAAAGTTCCTCGAAAATGGAACGCTCGTCGCACAAATAAACAGTCTGAGTATTTACTACACGGGTCATCGTCAATAAATCCAGTCACGTAGCTATGTAATGTGTAAGAACTGTCGGGAAGACAAGTAGTCCATCTCGTCCGGAGCCCTTCTCGAAACCCCTTGTTGCCGAGGATACAGCCTGGAAAAATGAGATTTTCTTCGGAACCTGCGTCACGCACAGCTTTAGATGCAGGGATCTTCAGTCTTATTCTCAAACTCTATGTAAGTAATAATAATATAGATAATAAATAAATAATTCTGATAACGATAAATATAAAAATCATCGTTTTTTTCTCTTTCTCTCTCTCGCTGCTGAAAAAATAGTCTGGAAAAACACATAAAATTTTCGGAAAATTTACACATCAAATATTGCTGTGCGGAATTTTTATATTTTTGCAAGCTGTATAATAATCAACAAAGAATGTTGATAAAAAGACTAAAATAAAAATAATCTCATTATTAATAATAATAAAAATAAAAATTATATTTTTACGAGCAGTCAAGACTCATAATAATTCCAGTCTGATTTTATTGATCACAATAGATCCTAATATGTTATCAAATAATTTTTACATAGCATGTGTTACAACAAAATCAAGAATAAATAACACGTTAAGATTCATACAGACAGCAAAGAATATGTGGCAACTGATTGTACGCGAATCAATATCCGATCTGCGAAACGACCTAGATAACAAAAGAGTAATTTTTTCATAGCTGTGTAACGGAAATGTGGCAACCTTTTTTATTGAATTAATAAAACGAAAATTGGAGAGTCTATCTCTAAAGTTGTATTTCTAAAAAATAAAAAAAAATTACTATGTATTAAATAATTACAAACTTAATTACAGTACAATTTTATAAATAAATGAATTTAAGATATATCGGTGAAATGTGAAATCTTTTCATTTTTAATAATTATAACGAAATTATAACGACTTTCGACAGATATCGAAACATTTATCATCCAAGTCGTTTAATTATTCGCGATTGACGCAATTTACAAATAATTTATGATCCCAATGGGGTTCTGTTATTGTATATACCGTTTATTTGTAGAGTATTTTTGTTTGACACAAATTCGCGCGTTGATTGTTTAATGAATGAGATATTCTTGCGAATGGATAATATCGATTATGAAACCTCGCCTAATTATAGGCATTTGTATTATTGCGTTGCATTGAGAAACAATGCTATATGATCGAGTGTATTTATTTTATTTGAAAATTTTTACTTCTTAAATTTTAACAATTTTTTTTCTCTTCATGGAAATTAATCTTCTGTGCGAAAATTCATTTTTCACAATAATTTTATCTCGTATATATTTATGTCCGAAAAGTTGAAGATTTAATGTACTATACATAAATTCGCGTTGTTGTTCATATTGCAATAAATTTGTTTATTTTTCTTTTAATTCGCGGTGAATTTAAATTTAGTTTAGTATATAAAATCCGATTTTATTTCTCCAACCGGTGTTGTCGCAGTTTTTGTTATATTTTTGTGGCAAAGAACTTTTATGGAAATTAAAAATAAATTTCCAGTGAGAGAAAATAACGTATCATTAAAAGATTAACAAATCCGTGAGCATTCAGCATCTAAAAAAGTAGATATAATCGATCTCGTAAAGGTAAAGAATCGTTTTTCTTGTATTTATTTTACATATTCTTCGTTTTCTCAGAAATTGAGAGAGTTGCTTGTAAAATACACGAACGCTTTGTAACAAAGTGCAATTACAGCAATAATTATATAATAATAATAAATAATTATACTTATGTAAATAATTATGTATGTAACGTGTCCGTATAATTTCCGGATATGAAGTTTACGGGATCTTTTTCGAGACTCGAAAACGTTTTCATTTCTCTCTAATTTGCGGAAGTAACAAACCTCGTTATCGCTGTCGCTTTGTACACACATCATGACGGATGAGGATCAAATCGATTGGTGTGATTAATACTCTTGAGATGGATTAATTGTCAGGGTTCACTATGACGCGTCCAGCAGAGAGACAGAGAGAGAGAGAGAGAGAGAGAGAGAGAGAGAGAGAGAGAGAGAGAGAAACTCCTCGATTTCACGAGAGACGCAAACGCAAGATTTATGAGAAACCGCGACGACAATACAAATCTTGATAATCGAGAGAAAACATTTGCTAAATAAATAACTATCCGCCGACATTACGAGAAATGGAATATAATTTTGTCTCCAGCTTTGATTTATTAAATTTTTAACTCTCGCCAGACCGAAGGCGTTTATTTTAACGTAGCAATAAGATTAAATTATTTACACATCGCACCAAAGCGGTATTCAAATAAGGCAATCTTCGTTGAAATTACTGTATACATTATTTCGCATTATTTTAAATTTATTTTTGACCTTTGCCCGTTTGTTATTCAGGGGAAACGTGCGACTGCTGTAACATTCGGTACGGACATTTTATCTAGCGGTCAGTCCAGTTTCTTCCGCGCGTTCCTCTTTATTTTACCCCAGCTAAACTTTTTTCTGTTCCGCCACATTTGCTCGATACACACGTTACATGACGTATATGGATGCTTATACGTCTGTGTGACAAGAGGACAGGACAGACAGATACATGTGGGAGGTGAGACAACGGGGGAGATGATGGATCCACGCTTCGCGTCTCGCGTCAATTTTTACGCGATTACGGAGACACCTTGTCAAACGATTGACACTGTTGTCTTTTTCCAAGAAAAATATTAGGAAAATGATAATCTGTGAGGAATCTTTTAGTAATTAAAAAGATAAAAAAAAAACGAGAAAAATAATTTTAATGAATTAAATTTGGTCTGAATTTTTATTTATAAAATTCATAAAAACATCTTCAAGATCCTTAATATAAGAAGCCAAAATATTTTAAACTGATGCTTCAAAAAGTAAGAAATGATGATAATTTATGGCACTTTTAATTATGTCCGATTTTCAGTTTGATTTAAAAAAGTCTTATTAACGTTGCTAAAAATTTTGAACGTTAGAACATATAACATTTTCTAATGATATCGATATCAACGTGCCTCGGAATAAAAAATTCTTACAAAATTATATCATGTATTAAACTATGCGATATTTTAAATTCTAATTAAACTTTCAATGGGATTTTAATGAGATGATATGAACGCTCCCGAAATAGTTGATAATCGCAATAAATATCCGATCCCCGACTTTGATCTCACGTCCCACGTCTCGTTTTTCGCGAATTAGACTTATTTTCACCCTCGCTCTCGCGGAGGCGACGGACGCGCGGGCGTTCGCGCGGGCCGCTGAAGAACCACCCTCTTCTGTGCGGATGACGGAGGCACAACGAAGAGGGTGAGCTCGAAGATGAAGGAGAGAGAAAGAGGGAGATAGGGAGAGAGAGGGAGACTGGGCCGGGGGTAACGATGGAGAGATTCGGCCGAAGGTAGAAGTTGCTATGCTATCCGATGTAGAGAGGGCGAGAGGGTGACGGTGAGGGTGAGAGAGGTAGAGACAGGGTGGCGCGGTGGTGCGTCGCTGGTGGAAAGCGGGAAAGCCTCTCCGAAGCGACCACCCACAGTTCACTGCGGCCTCGCGAGCCGTGTGAGCCACAACAACGTTGTGCATTCTTGTATCCGTGCGCCGTTCAGTCGATCGCGCCAACTACCCCGGACACATCAACCCTTTTCACCATGTAAACAAAACGCCAGGGATGCGCGTCTCTCACGGACGTGGGAAAAATGTCCGCGATGTAACACGTGGCGAGGGAGATCCAGGAGAATGGGGGGGCTCTTAATTTTGGAGCTCGCGGGAAAAAATGAGAAAATAAAAGTGACGGAGACTTTTCCGTTAAGAGTAATACGTGGTGCTGAGTGCTGAAATGGAGATATTTCGAATCCGGGACGCGGCTTTCCCCTGGTCTCTGCAAGATCAATGATGGAGTCCCAATCTACTGTGTTCCCGTGAACATCATGATGTTATTATGAGTTACCGGAGTTTCGGAAGATGCCTCGCTCGAGACCGAGAGACAAACTTCGATCATCTCCTCTCGGACACACACCGCAACAATCGCTGGATCCTGCAAATGTTCCCGTCGGACAAACTCACTGATGGCTCAACTTTGATTTACATAACAACTTCGACCTGCTAAACGTCGTGACGATTGTCTTCTATGTGCGTCCTGGGTCTCTTCCGAGTGGATCTCGTTGATCGGATTGTTAAATTTTATAATTCGCGACGATTCTCCATTGGCAATCGTGGCCGGCTTTCAAATGAAACAAATTTGAAGTCATCCAAGCTGAAAAAGACCGCCGTTCCGTTCAGTTGAAACGTTTCTCTCTGTTTAATCGAAACGAACAATTCGTCAATCATTTCTTTCATCGCCACGGCTTTCATCGTATCGATGCTCCGTGTGTGCACTCGCCGCTCGTAATCGGTGATCAATTGTCGCGACCAGCTCCAATATTGCGTGACCTTCGGATATACGGTCGCTGTTAAACACTTTGATGAAGTAACACGTCGTCCTTACGCCTTCGAAACTACCGGATTGTAATTACATCCTTTCCGCTCGCGACGCTAAGACGGATAACGGATGAGGGCGACGAGAATTCTGTTTATACTGACGACGAATTAAAGTACACGGTTAAGCGGACACTCGAGAAGATAAACCTTACAGAACCTATCACCGCTAGATCCTGTCGACCACGTGTTTCGTGTGATCTTCGTGGTGGGTGTCGAGTGTTATGACGAGGTGTAACGATGTGCGAGGTCTCGAGATAACGATGCTTTAAGTGTTTGCGCGATCATTGGAGAAGAGGTAGCTATCTCCTGATAACACACTTGGCGATCTTGCATGATTATTCATGTAGATCACGTGTTATCGTCTCAAATTTTATTACCTTAGTCGGAAAGGCGCCCTTTGCGAAGATACATGACAATTACCGAAAATTATATGCTTAATAAGATTTCCGACGAAATTAATTGAGATTATCAGGTTTAGATCAAAGGCGTTAACAAACATGTTGCAACAATGGCACGTTAGAGGTATCTTGTAATTATGCAAACTATAGATACGATTATACGCGACACGGTGTCTAAGCTTACTATCATGATTGCAGATATGTCAACTACGATGATATTGATAACGTTTCAGTTTTCAAAGTGATAACGCGTACAGTTAATTGCACAACCATGATTTCGTATAATATTGAGCGTAATAATAATTAACACTTTTGCTACCGCTTTACTTTTGGAAAAGAATCGGTAAAAAAGATCAAATAAGATTATTTTTCTTTATGTAACCTGTCTTGAAATTCATGTTAGAGAAAAAAAGTTATTTTATGTTACTCGTAAAACTATTTTCAAAAATCTTTCTCTGATTGTGCTATCCGTATCTTTTAATGTTATTCATTCCTGAAATAGGATAATATAAATTACTAGAAAGAGGATTCTTCGATATAAAATCAAAACGCGATATGAGATAATCATTGATCCTTCATCAATGCAACATTGTGATTTCAGCTTATAAACTATTGTTACATGTGTACAATGTTGTCATACAGATAATCAGTTAAACAAATTGTGATGCTACATAATACGTGACACTTGGTGGCGAAAGTGTTAATAGAGTTTCACAATCTTACTAACAATCATAATTAGAAAAATACTACAAAATTAGCACAATACTGAGCCGATGAAACAAGCTAACAGCTGTAAATTCACTGAGCCAGCCGCGTGTTTACACTAACAATAAGCAAGGCAAATAACACTTGACATAACATAGGCTTATGATGAAATCAACTATATATCGCACAATGTCTCATTTTCCCACGAACTTTGCATTAAAAGACAAAGAACGTTACTTTCTTAACAAACCGCAGAATGTGATTAAATAATCTCGAACAACTGAAGAAACAATTAATATAATGAATAAAGAAATAACCGATCTGAATGTATAACAGCTCTGAAGATGTCATCACCGGAAATATCTATTGATCAATGTGGAAAAACATTGTGACATTATTTTCGTGTATCGGCGGAGTTATCATGAAACTGAAACATTGCAAATTAACTTTCTTGCGGTGAACAAGATGCGCCGGAAGTAACTTGATCGGGGCACGAGCGTAGCTAAGAAACTCGGAGGGATCGGAGGTAAGATATTGACTCTCTCTCTCTCTCTCTCTCTCTCTCTCTCTCTCTCTCTTTGATACAGCTGGAATATCGATGGGATACGAGTGTATCGAATGTTTGTTTAGCTTTGATGGGATACGAGTAGATTTGCGTATTTATTTGCCTCGAGCTAATATGTGGTGCTTATCTTTGCGATCGCATGATCCGCCAATCTCAAACGAACGATCGTATAAATACGATGGTAATACGATGATGATGGCAACGTTAGTTAATTCGATAAGCCAAATATAAATTCATATATACGAATGCATTGTTGAATTAATAACCAGCATAATTGCGCTACGTTTTGTGAAATGCCCCAGGTAGCGGAGTGATGTCGAATGACGTATTATTAATGTCTTAATGACGTCTCTAACGTCAATAATACACGTCATTAAAACGTCTTTACACCCTGCAACCTGGGGCTATAGATAAGTCGACATGTAGCATAAATCTACATCTAGCTATGAGACACAGGAATAGTTTGCGCACATATTTCCGAGTCGCTGGAATCAATATTGTATAAAAATGACTGAAATATTTACATTCCTTACGAAAATATATTCATAAGAATTCACAAACTCGTAAAACGAAACGTACAATACGTACTCGTATTTGTACTCGCACATTTTTTCCGTCACAGGAAATGTATTTTAAGCTTTCAAAAAGAATAAGAGTAATCGTGTTTAATCAGTATTTAGTAGAATTTTAATGTTTTTTTGTGGTCGTATAATTTTAGATACTAACAAGGATACTAAATTAATTATATTTTTGATGCGTTCTTGAATGCAATAACGCTCCGTACAAGAAATTCTTTCAAACCACCGTGTTATGCCGCGACTCTGACATTCGGATCGATTCACAAATTGCTACCGTCGATAATTGAATTTTTTCTTCACGGTTACATCAAACGTATTTATACGTCCGGTGAGCAAATGCGTGTGCAATGAGTTAAATTATTTCGCGAAATGTTGAAATTTTCTGCCAGATGCCGACCGAAACAATCGCGTCGCGTTCATTCCATACATGCCGATCGATTTTCGATGTGGCTGACATAAATGTGAGAACTGCTTCCACCTTGAAACTCATTATTACTCATAGCTCATAGCTATTTTTATTATTATATCTCACTATTGTTATTGCTATTTTCATTATTACTCATAACTCATAGCTATTTTCATTATTTAGTTGCCGAGAATAAACAGTTGCAGTTTACCATTATTCATACCATGCAGTAAAGTTCATCTTCTTGAACGAAATTTTTATCTTTCTTTCACAGTTTTTAATATCAAGGCAAAATCTAATGCATAATTTTATCTTTAATTTTAATTTAATATTGAATTACTTTTTATTTTTCATTTTAAACGTTACAATAATAACTAAAAAATAAATTGTGAATAATTTTAGATTGATCTGTATAATTACAGTCCAAATTGTAATTAAAACATTTTTTGTTCTGCCCATTATATGATTTCTAAAGTTCGTAATTATACATGCCAACTGTTAATCTGGCATGTAAAATGTACATATATATAAAATTCTATTTACAAATTATAGCTGGACTTTGGTTACAATTTTATACATTTATCTTACAATTAAAGCTGTCATTAAATTGTAAAAATAAGTTAAGAAAAATTGAAAAGATAAATTAACGAATCTGCTTTACTACATTTCGCAATGGGATATATATCGTACCGTGGATTTTAAATTTATTTGGAAATAATTTCACGAAGCTGCAATGTGTGGCTGAATTACGTATGGTTCGAGGAAATCAATTCGCCTTTGAAATTTTCATAAGGTTACGGTCTCAGGCGGTTGTCAAAGGTGCCGCGATGCCTTTCTGCGATCTGATTAACGTTACATACACGTACGATACACGCTCGACTGCTCGTACGATAGTGGTAAATAGCAAACTAAATGTAATAATAGAGGCAAGTTCATCTCTAAGCATAGGACAAAGCGTGCTTCAGCTTCATTGTAAAGCTTCTCGTCTTATAAATGAAGATGCAACGGGATTACGACAATCGATGCCGGTGATCTTGTATCGCAGACAAAGACCTGCAAATATGATTCGAGTATTTATAACACCATTATTATATATTTGAAAAATATATTATATAGTTATAATATATATTTTTCATAATTATTACATATATAATATAAATTATATTGGAGAATATATATCATATAATGTGCTAATGTAAATATCAGTGGATATAAATTTAATCACTTTAATAATATTGTATTAAATGTAATAGAATATGTTCCCTCAAATTCTAGTAAATGCGGTATAAAAGCTTTTCAGGATAGAATTACAATTACAATATTCTCATGTATTTCGTTGCATATTGCTAATTAATTCCGACCTCTGTCCTCTCCTAATCTTTTCCTTACATTAGCATATTTGTATGCCTTTAGAAAAATCTAATTTTACACGTCCTCGCGACGATATTCTGACAGGAATATCACGAAGCCATTTAAGATGGTTTCGACTTTCTAACGAGTTCTTGCTTTAAAATTTGCGTAAACTTTCCAAGTCTCATCGTGCATTATTCACTTCTGCAATTTCTTATTACGAGAGTTCGGCCGCGTTTTACACGAAGATTCGGTCGTAAATTTCCATACTCGAATCTTATTATCGTCATTTGAATAAAGTTGCGTACCACACGCGATTGGCGATTGGCGATTGGCGATTGGCGACTAGTTTTTTATTCGCGAACAAAAATTCGCCCTTGTTTGAATTCGAAAATCCGTAGAATTTCCATTCGCGATTTACCGCAAAATATCTGCACCTAAATTTCACACAGCTATTTTCGCCTGGCGTAAAAATGAGTAATTTTATATTCGAATATATAATGAAGATATTGAGAAAATATAGGATAACAATTAAAAATTTTTTAGAATATATATATAGAATTATAGAGATTTTATTAATTATAACACAAAAAAAGATATATAATTGTTTAAATATTGCATTTATATGAAATATTTTTATCTCTCTTCGGACGCCGTATATCGTTTCGATTCGTTCGCCATTCTCATCACAAATTCAGCGATGCAGTTCGCATGAAAAATGGCGCGAAACGCGGATGGTCGTCGTTCTGCTTGATGCGAGAATCCGAAATATTCCGTAGAATTGCGTCGCGGAAGCGGAAATCGGAATTCGCGAACAACGCCTCGTATTTCGCGACAAAAACGCAGAAATGGCGATTTCGGCAACGGCATGGCACATTTACGGCCTGTATTCATGGCCAGTTCTTATTTCAAGACTGTCTTGAGTAATGTCTTAAGATGTTAATACGGTTCTGTGATTGGTTCATGACATCCTAAGATTGTACTTAAGACGGTCTTAAATACAAGAACCGACTATATATGAATACCGGTCTACGACCACGTCAGTGAAACATCCACACGTTTGATCCGACGCGGAAAGGTGAGCCGTTTTTCATAATTTATCGCAAAATGAGATTATATAATGGCATATATAGACCCGCGTCTCTATATTTGCATCCGTGATGGATTATTTAATTCCCCCTTCGTTTCGGGTCAACTTCACGCCGCGCGTCGCGCCGCGTGAAGTTGCTCGATATCCGCGCGCCGTTCGAAGTCGTCGTCGCAGTTTGCGTCCGAAGATGGCGGGGGTACACGCGCGCGCTCCTCGTTCCTTTCGAGAATCCAGAATATTCCGCGGCATCGCGTCGCGGAAATGTAAATCGCGGATCGCAGACGACGCTTCGTATCCCGTGCTCGCGTTTCGCGTTCATATTTTGCGACGTGGTGGCAGAAACGTGGAAATGGCAGGCGAGACGACGGTACAAGCTTTGCAGCCGACGCTGATCGAGCGTCGGAACATCCAGCTCGATCCGACGCGAGAAGGGATATGTACGTATATATATATATTGTGAAATCAAGTTATCCGTAATTAGAATTATATCTGCACACATTCGCCCGCGCGACAGAGTACTCCTATTTCCTCTCGGGGCAATTTCACGTCGCGTCTCGGCGCCTTCAAGTCGTTCGATACTCGCTTTGAAGTCGATGGCGACGCGGTGGTCAAATAGACGGGGCCGCCCGTGGCGGTTTGCTCGCACGCTTCCTCGGTTCGCGAAAATCCGACGGAAAATTGTCCTGTAAACGGAAGTCGCGATTTACAAACGACGGCGACGCCTGGCACTTTGCAGCGAGACACGCGCGCCTCATGTCGTACTCGTGTTTCGCTCTCGTATTTCGTGGCAGATACGGGAATGACGGCCACATCGACTGCGACGGCGACGGCGACGACGACGGCGGTGACGGCAATACTTTATGTTCGCGCTAGTGGAATATCCGTACGCTTGTGCCGACGAGAAGTGAAGGGAAGTGAGGTAAGCCGGCTTTACGACGTCGACGTACGTTCATTTTCCCCTTTCGTGTTTCGTATTACGAAGCCTTTGCTCTGCCTTCAAAGCTACCGGATCTTATTAACTTTTGGTGATTGTTCGCTTTTTGAATTATTCTCTCTTCTTACTTCTCTATGAGAATATCAAGAAACGCAATATATATATATATATATATATATATATATATATATATTCTAAATATTTTCGAGTGAAAATTTGACTCTTGGCTTGAGTGAATGCACTATCAACTCTTCATAGAGTGACTTTACACTTATTTTCACTCGATTCGAGTGAAATCTGTCACTCGAACTATAAAGTGAAAATAATCTTAATTATTCTCTCGAAGTGTCGGAGTGAATTGTGGTACGCTGGTTCCGAGCAACTCGGGTCGAGTGAAAATTTACTTGAACCGAATGGCTCATTGTCAGTTGCGTAGCCCGCGCAAGAGACGTGACGTGTTTTAATGTCGGGCTTACGTGATGTATATTTGTGTTTGTACCTAAAGATTTCAAAGAATTGTGGATATTAGTGCGTGGATTTTGTGAATATCGTGTTAAAAGACAAACATGTTTCCTAAGGTTGATATAACCTCACTACACGACATTTCTATCTATTATTTTAGAACGTTGATTAGGTTAATTTGCTAAGGCCTCCCGTAAAACCGTCCGTCGCCGCCGACGACGAGGGTGCAGCCGGTCAGCTGATCGCCCAGGGCATCCAGTATCGCCTGCACGAAGTTGTCCGTGTAGTGTTACTGAAAGACCTTGACGGCCTTCCACAGACCCGAGATGCCCGGCTTCTGACCCCCATCCGGGTGCTCACCGTCAGGCTCGTCATCGACGTCGCGGTCATGCTCGCACGGTGGTGATTCCGCGGGCACAGATCGTAGCCGCGACGGCTTCGCGACGCCTCCCCGTGGATGGGATCGTCGTGTATCGTGTCCTGATACTGACGAAGAGCCTCCTCCTCGCGCGCGACCGCAACTCGCGGCTTCCCGATTCGTTTTTCCTTAAACTAACTATTAGTTAGTTTACCAATAGGTTGGAACAATCGGGCCTTAGCAAATTAACCTAACCAACGTTTTAAAATAACAGGTGGAAATGCTATGTGGTGAGTCTTAGAAAACATGTTCGCTTTTTAAGTAAAACTTTACTCTAAGAACGAGCGAACAACAAAATCAGACACCTGAAGAGGGCACTCTGATCGAGTGCAAGTTCTCACTCAAATACACGAGTCAAATTTCGCTCGAGCGCGCGAGTGATCTAATCACTCGACAAATCGAGTCAATATTCACTCGATAAGATATGTTCCATTTTCACTCTTTGCTCGAGTGAATTTCCACTCGATTAGAGTGATATTTCACTCAAAAAAATTTAGAGAGTATGTATAAAATAATATCTATATGTATCTTGTACGTTATTATCCTTCTTAAAATGTAATATAGAAATGTATATTCAGCTTCAGTATTAAAATATATTAATGATATAAGTAATACTTAACTTATTCGTTCGTTTCTTGTATTATTTTAAGACTTATTTCAAGAATATTATAAGAATTACCTTCAAAGAATGTTGGAAATAATATGTATTATTTAAGCAATACGTTTTGAATAAATAAATATCTTTTAGGATCGAATTTTTGATAAATAAATATTCTACATACATACTTTTTAGTAGAATTATATTAAAAATTTAAAATCAATTTAAAATTTATTTATTTATTTAATATCGCCTCTTTTTATGCATAAAAAATTTATTAAAATATAATTTATAATGTACAATTATAATTGATACGTAAATATACCAACATAAAATTTAAAAAAAAATGAGACATATAGAATTCCGGAATATTAATATAAATACATATAAAAATCCCAATTAAGAATTCCAATTAACTATATTCCCCTCAATGATTATAATCGTGGCAACGATTATAACCCTTGTGACAAATCGTCACCGCATTTCGACCAAGGATTCTGGTCATTCTAAATTGATGTAATTTTAGATGCTTATAATATAAGCGTCTTAATTAAATAATTAAATTTATTGCGAAAAATATTACCTCAGCCAGGGTTCGAACCTGGAACCTCCCTCATTCCGTGATTGGTGTCGTACATATAAAAATAACAAAGTAATTGTAAAAAAAATTATTATAAGTAGTCGATATGATTCTCTCGTACAATTTTAGAAATTTATGACATAATATTATTAGTGGATAAGATATCATTGCAAAAAAAATGCAGGGCAAGTTGTTTTCAAATAACGATCGTGATTTTCGTAATTATTCCACGCTAACAATTACATTACACGTTTCGTGTTCCGGGAAATTATTAGTCGAGTTAATAACAAGCCGAGCGATTTTTCTCACGCGAGAAAAATTACTCGCGAACCATCAACTTTTCCACCATCGCGAAATTTTCATCATCACGCGATGAAGCGAGTGTCCGCGTATATAATTTCATGGAACTTTTCTCTTTTTTTTTCCATCGAGATTGTCGTTGACTGTCGCTGAATTGTTCAGGACAGTTCTGGAATTCCAACGGTGACATTTCGCGCGTTTCGCGAATATGATTAGCCCAACAATACATCGCAAATGAAAAATTTGCATGCATTTCTCACACAGGTCATTTCATTCAATTTTATCCCGAATTTCCGCAATTTTATTTAAGTATAATGTCAAAATTTATCGCAGAGATTTTGTGTAGAAACGTTTTGTGTAGAAATGTTTTTTAAAGTTTTTTTTAAAACTTTTTTTTAAACAAGCGAAAACCAGTATCTCAAGAATCAATAAACTCAAAAAAGAGTATAAAATATTTGACACATTGTTTGATAATTATACATCAAATAATATGATCATCATATTTAATTATATGAATCATATAGAGTATAATATGTAATATAATTATATATTATATTACATTATTGTTTGATAATACATGCTGTTTGAATAATTATATGTCGTGGTCGATGTATTATTCATTATACGTTTACTCTATTGAAAAATTTTATAGTGGTTTTCCAGAGATTGAATATCAAAAACCAGAGAATTAAGAATAGATTTTTAATTAGAATTTTTAATTAGAATTAGAAAATTGATTAAAATTATTTAATTAAAATATTGATTAAAAAATATGTAAAATGTTGGACATGAAAAATTCGCTAACGTACTGCACAGATATCGTCGATGAATTTGTCAAATCGACAAATTATTTAGAGAATTCATGGAGATGAAAACTCGCCACAGATCTAGGACACTCTGTATTGCCGTATTGGACAGATCTATAAATATCGAGAGAAATATTTCACGTTACGGTCGCAAATAAATATTGCGTCCGATTTTAATCTGGCTTGAACCGAAATAGATAGGACAGTCGATAGAATCGGAACTCTTTAGAGAGAAAAACTTCTTAATACGGCGTTGCGAAGAACGTCAATAATATAATATATATTACGTCAGCCTACATATCTCAATCCGGTTCGTCTTACAACGGTGAAGGATTTTCTCGCTCTTCGATCGTAGGAGAATCGTCCGTTTTAGACGTTTCCCTGTACCTTCTGCATATAAAATGACAGGCACGTATAAGCATAGAAGATAAATGGCGTAGATCGAGTGCAATTAAAATGGACGATCTTATATTTATAGAACTATATTTTTGAAACAAATAGGTTCTATCTATTTCGAGGACATATTGACGTAGTAAGAAGGATATATTTATAATAATTATAGCATCGTATATAAAGTGGCTACAATATATTTTCAGTAGCACTTCTATATACTTATCGCATTTAATTATTAAATATTATATTTCCTATTCTTCGCTATCTGCGTATTTTTAAAGTATTTATTTATAGAATACTACGTCGTTTATCGTTGCTCACCTTACGTTACTATTTTTAAAAATATTATTTGTATGTCGTTCATGGTAATTAAACTACCACGAGATGACATCGTATGATTAAATTCTAGATTGTGCGAATTTCAAATAGCATTTAGGCATTCTACAGATAGTAGTTCGACCGCGTGTTCATTTGCGTTTGTTGTTTCTATTATGACTGATATACATATCGTTTTAGCATTAGATCGTATTGTCACAACTTGTTATCCGCGTGCGCCTCTCGCGAATCTTCGTGTAAATCCAATTTCGACAGAACATACGAGCATATTCCTGCGGTAAATCAACGGCCTTTTAACGCGGATTATGCGCTCGTACATCACCGGAATACATCTAAATACATTGACTGATGGATAATCCAAATTATTTGGAATATTTACGATGGAGGGATTACCTAGTGACAAATTTACAATCAAAAGTATTACGATTCAAATAATGCAAATTTAAATCTCAAGTCTCGAAACGTTAAAATTCGAATATCAGAATTTTTAATAAGCTAGACTTGTAAAATTAGTCAATTACAAATGTAAAGTTAAATTGTTTTTTTTATTATCTATTATCGTGCACTTCTTTGGAGTAATTTTAATTAATAAAATTATATTATTAAGATGTAGAAATGTTTATTTTTACAATGACATTTTTAAAATAAAAAAATCGACTTTAGTAAAATTATAAATGATTTTAATAAAGTTATTATGATATGTAGAAGAGAATAAGCACAAAATTTTGATAATAGGATTATGAGAATTAATTTATATCTCAGACTTTTATAAATATTGATTAACCTTTAATTATAGTCTTAAAATAACAATATTACTGCTTGAATAACGGGAACGTAGGGATACCTTCAACAATGAAACTATTGGAATTTCCCAGTTCCCCAAACATTTGCCAGTTTTTAATTAACCAATTTTGATGAAGATATTATTTTATATTATTGCAAAGAGTAAGCGAGTAATTTATTTTTATCAATAATGACGTCATTGAAAGTAAAATGTCATGCTTCTATAAGTGTAATAGAGCATTTTTAATTAACTATCTTTAATAATGTATTATTGTTACATGGAATAAATAGAAATACGTTTTCTTTAGCAATAGAATCACTGAAATGGAAAATTCAGACTCAGAGATAATAATTAATTTTTAATTAATTAATTTTAATTAACTAACTAAGTTATATTAAAACGCGCAGAATAAACAAAAATACGTTTTTTTTCTAGCAATGCAATTATCAAAATTAAAAGTTTTTTATAAACTTAAAATACTCACCTCCCTTTAAATTACTTCTAAATGTGATAGGCATAAGTTTTGAGATTATTTTTAAAATTCATATAATATGTCGATAATAAGAGAACCCGTTATTTTATCTTTTGCAAAATCGGTCTTGTATAATATTATATTATTGGCCTACATACACATTAATTTAGAACTATTAATTAGAATCGTTGCAATATATTGCGAATATAGTAAATATTCATTTTACACAGAACTAGATACGCAACTGTAGATATTTACAAAGCTTGTAAATATGTAGGATTAAAATTTTGCATACATATACATTGTTGCATTATTTATTTCGTTTTTTATGCATATTTGTGCATATTTTGTTCGCAGGTTATCGTTGCACGAAGACATTTCAAAATCTGTGAAAAATGTGCCGCATGGAAATCCTGTTTGGACGTCAGCTCGAAATTCGAAAAAAATTTTAACTGCAACTATGTAAAAAAATTGCAACAGCAAAATATAAGAAAATAAATCTACAATCGTGTTTATGATCGCAAGTAAAATCCATATAAACGGACAATCATCAACTCAAGAAGATCCAAGTATACGAAACGCCTAGAAGCTCAAGTACTCAAGTACCAATTTATCCAAGTAGGTTAACGGAGCATATTTTCCGAGATGCACTCTCGCCTAATTCCCTTATTTTGGACCTTACTGACAAGTGAGTCACGAAACACTCTAAATAAACCATCTTATATAGATGCTGCAAATTAAGAACCTTGCGATCTACGTTTCACCCAGGTGAAACCATAACTTGATCTTCATAAATGGATCGATTGCACGTTAGTCATATCAAGGAAGGAACGGAAGAAGACGAGAAAAAAGTCATCGAGCGACGGTAGTAGCCAGTCGAGACGTGAGAAACACTCCAGTTCCTCAAGATAAGTTACAACGAGACGTCAGATCAGAGATGAACTCGGACAATACCACGAATCTACTGAGCAGTTTCTCTTTTGATACTGGTCAGCGAAACAACAGCAAAAACGATCACGATATGGAGCATGTCCTCTTACTAACTTTCAAAGCCTTCATTATGATATTCATCATCCTTAGTGCTCTCTTCGGCAATCTATTGGTCATCGTTTCGGTCATGAGACACCGGAAGCTCCGAGTAATCACTAATTACTTCGTGGTATCGCTGGCCTTGGCCGACATGCTGGTGGCGTTATTCGCCATGACGTTCAACGCTTCCGTGGAACTTTCTGGCGGACGTTGGTTATTCGGGTATTTCATGTGCGACGTGTGGAACTCGTTGGACGTCTTCTTCAGCACCGTCAGCATCCTCCACCTTTGCTGCATCAGCGTCGACAGATATTACGCGATCGTCCAACCGTTGGACTATCCGTTAATCATGACGAACGTGAGATTGGGAACCATGTTGAGCGTCGTGTGGTGTTCCCCGACTATTATGAGCTTCCTACCGATCTTCGCGGGATGGTATACCACGAAGGAGCACCTGGAGTACAGAAAGAACTCTCCGAATGTGTGTGAGTTCAAAGTCAACAAGTTCTACGCTATCATCAGTTCTGGTGTCAGCTTTTGGGTACCGGGGATAATCATGATCGCGATGTATTACAAGATTTATCGCGAGGCCGATCGTCAGGAGCGCATGCTGTATCGGTGAGTCGTTTCTGCAATCTCTTGTCAGTAATTATTACGGATGAAACTTTAGGATCCTCATAATAAATCCTGATTAATTAATATCTTTAGAAGATTAAGATCTTCAGAGAGCCATAAAGCCCTTATTTTTATAAATTTTTAATTAATATTAATACTATATGAAGTGTGAGACAAGAGATTACGTTCTTATCTTTTTTAAAACAATTTATTATTAATAAAATTTCCCTTATCGATATAAGTGTATAATATAGAAAAGCGAGAATGAAAAAGAACGAAAATCAATGTTTTGTCATAGAAAAATGGAGTCTAAATTTGTACCCAAAATATCTTGCTACACGTGGAAAATGGGCTTACATTTTCTGCTACATTATGCAAGCAATGTAATTTGACAAACGAGGCGTATATTTGAAATACGATCGCACATTTATTGTATTAACCGCTTTCTCAAATTGTCCGTTGCCAAGTAACAGGTCGTTAGCGTGTTGTTACAATGGTCGAGCGATATATGGTCGTTAAATCTCCGAAGATACTTTTGTATTTGAAAGAGAAAAAAGGAGAGAAATAGAGAGAGCGAGATAGTATTCGCCATTAGTTTCTTCCAAAAGAATTCTACTTCCATCCAAAAGATGTTCCCGAAAGCGGCTTCGTGCCGTTCTTGAATGTCCAATTAGGGTAAAAGGCGCAAAGAAGGTAGAGACGAGTGGCCGACTAACAACAAATGTACTTTTCAAGAGGGAGAGAAAAAAAAAAAAGTCAAAAAGTATTCCGAAATAGTGCTCCGGTATTCTCCCTCGTATTGTGCAGCTTGCGCGTCATTACAAGCTTTAAATTCCCCTTTTTGTTCTACAAAATTCTTAATATATAATAATAATAATACTGTATGATAATAACGTTTATATATAGTACGATTTGCTTCGGTGTGTCGAAATTGTGCAGTTTCATATGTCGTACATTTCAGTTTCATTCGGCAAATACAATCAAGTGTTTTAGCAAAATAAACAATTAAATCTCAATTACAGATGCAAGGGACTGATTGCCAATAAAAATAACACTTTCCAACAGTTATTTTTGTCGCGAGCGATGCTATCTTTGCTTTATAGTTTTCCGCGTTCGATCGATGAGGCTGTCGGCTCTCGGTCTTGCGCGACCTTGCCGCAAAGTTTTCTGTATTTTCATAAATTACATATCCGCGGTACGTCGCGTGTTCGCTCTTTACCTATATAACGCGGACCACGTCGCGCTTCGCGCACACACGTCATTCCGTCGCACTTTGAATGCGCCACCGAGACACCCCGTTCGTTTATGAACGCCAACGGGAAAATATGAACGCAGAATAAAATGGAAATTTTGTGTTGCTCCCGAATTTGGTGCATTAACTGTCAAAAAAAAATCACCGAAACGTCAAAATGTAAAATTATGGTTTAATATTCAACAGTAACGAGTTTATAATTCTAATTTTATTTTAATTCAACAAGTTCATATAAATTAAAAAGATCCGGGCACAGTTGGAGGATTTTTAATATATTAAAAGTTGTGTAAATAGCTTTATGAAAAAAAAGCATTTTAATTTAAGTAATATTTATTTAAATATCAAAGTAACATGTATCTCAGTATTCAATTCATTAACGTACTCTTTAAATATTGCTTTTTTTGAAAAGTTACGTTTATCTAAAGTCAATATTTCAATAATGATTAATACTTCAACATTTTTATAAATGATAAAATAGCGATCTCTTGCTCTACGCAATTGCGATACTGTTAATTAAAAATTTTTATAAAGGCTTTATGGTTGATTAAAAAGGCAGTTAGCGATCGAAGATGACGTAAATAATTTAAAAATAAAATCTAGACTTTCGTGATTCTGAATTATAAATCACATCGCGCAAAACTTTTAGTTTTATGATAGTGATGTAAATAAATGCAAAGTGCCAGAGTTTTAGTTTCACTTTAGTATATGAGTGACAATAGGAAAATGTGAACGGAATGAAATGGAAATTTCATGTCGTTCTCGAATTTGCTGTGATCGCAAATGCTAAAGGAGTTGCTGAGGCTTCGGCAAAGCCGCGGTTCGCAAAATGTCAATTTTAAAAAGAAAATTAAGTACGGTTTCCACATTATTCATTTATGAATGATGAATGTGAGCGCGAATAAAAAAAAAAGAACAACAACGAAGATATAGTATTATTTTAAATTTGATTTTAATTTTAATCCAATTTGATAATTAATAAAAGTGTCATTTATATGTACATGTGATGTGACGATCATGAGATTATCGTGGCAATATCGTTATGGCATCATATTTAGCTCGAAATCAAAGTCACGTTGGTCAGTACATTAAATTTACGCTAACAATAAGTGAATCTGACGTTTTCAATACCATCGCGAGCTGCAATATCTTCGTGCGGGATTGTCTTGTCTACTGACGATTTCAATCTGGACTAGTCCTGGATGCGGTGCCAAAACTGATATCGTTCAGTGTCGCATTGAGAGACGAGTATCAGTTTTGTATTTCGTTTTTGCGGGAGCGTGCGGAGCGTGCCGTAAATTTCGCAAAATCGATTGTGACTGGCGAGCTGGAAAGCCACATTCGGTTTACGAATGTATACAACATGTTTGCAGCATGTTATAACGGGTTTAGAAACAACGCACTACATAATATTTACAGAATATCATAAATGTATAGACCGAACAAAATATTTTATCCGAATTTTTGTAAATTGTCTGCAGTTTGTTTCGTTTTGAAGTTGTTCAGCTTGAATATATAATCTAAAATTTAAATCTGACGAAGAAAAATCGAAAGATTTGTAATGTCAAATGATAAAATTTATTGAAAAAGTTTTCAATTTAAAGTGAAAAGAAGTTATTTCATAGAATGCGAGAGAAATATTTATCTTGCTACCTTACACTTTAATAAAAAATGACATTTAATTTGGAAACAATTTAAAATAAAGTTGAAAAACAAGCGAGACTATATGTAGGACCTATATTTGAATTTTCATTTACTTCGAATAAAAAGTTATTATTATAGTTCACATATTATTAGAAATATAATTAACATATAAATAAAAATATAATGTTCAAATATAAATTAAAAATTTTAATTCAGAATGTACGTATATGTATCAAGCATTTTTAAAATCTTATAAAATTTTTTATGCGAGAAAAACAAAAAAGAAAACAGATACGTATGAAATTGAATGTTTATATAATTTTCAGAAAGATTACAAGCAATATATTTTTCTTTTCTCTTCAAATTAATATATTTTTAAATAAAACTTATCTGAAAATTTTTTAAAACGTTTAAACAGTTTCGTGCGAGTCACTGTACATGTACTTCAATTTTACTTTAACGAGTGCAATTTTGGTGCGCGTCTAATACGTTACTGATTGATCGGTTCCCATTTCCACTCCCGTTCCTAAATTCGCAGGAAAGCTCTAATTGCGCGAGACAAAGCTTTAATGAGCAGCTTAACTGCATCTTAAGAATAATTTCGTGTTGAAGTTTACGTTCAAGAGGCTCTTCTTCGTCGAGAAGTGCTTCGGCTTTCTCGCGATCGAACTCATCCCGTGCCGGCGACAATCTCTCCGACTGTCATTGGCTTTTGCGCGGCGCCATGTATATATGGCGTCCAATTATTCGTACAATTAAACTTGAGAGACCGCATCTCTCGTCACGATTGTGTGCTTCGTCTATAATTAATGTCGAAGATCAAACACATAACGGAAATATGATGATTCGGCGAAATTCCAATTTCCAACCGGGGCGAATATTAGGGTTTTCTAATTTTTCGACACAAAATGCAATATTGATTCGATCTTCCCTCTCTTAAAATTTAGTTGGAATTATTTCTTTTAATTTAGAACTCAGATTTGCTTTTAATTAATTAATGTAATAAAAAACATTTTTTAATTTAAATACTTTTTTTAAATCTTGCCTTCTATTTTTTTTTTGGATTAATAGTTATAAATAATTAATTGTTTAGAAGTTACAGATATAGCCTTTTTATTAAAGAAAAGTCAGTTTTAAATCCGAAAAAGATATTCGGTATGTTAAAACACCCCGTGTAGATTCTACATGAATTTTGAACGACATAAATGCGTAAAACATATAAAAACATTAAATCGTAAACGGACCCTCGAGAATTAACAAAACGGGAAGAAAAGAGGCTATAAAATGTGAAAAAATTTGGAAAATCTGTGGAAAAGTAATTTAAATCTTTAATATGTTTTTATATAAAAACGGGAAGAAAAGAGGCTATAAGAGTCAAACGCGGTACTTCTTGCGTAATGTCTCATTTATTCATCTTCTTGGATATAACTTCAAACGTTTCGGCTTAATTTCGAGCCATCCTCAGTGATAACAATGGTTAGCCCAAGTTAGCGACAACAATGGTTAGTCCAAGAAGATGAATAAATGAGACATTACGCAAGAAGAACCGCGTTTGACCCTTATAGCCTCTTTTCTTCCCGTTTTTATATAAAAACATATTAAAGATTTAAATTACTTTTCCACAGATTTTCCAAATTTTTTCACATTTTTGTATTCTTTATGAGATATTATAATCAAAAATAAAGAATTATTTTCGTTGGCATAAAATCTTGTGTTTGAAGATGTTATATTAACAAACATACTAATAAAGGTGAGAGAGATTTATACCGTATATGTGTGGAGGAAACCGAACATGTGTCGGCATGTCGGATAAACATGCTCAGATTGCTCAGACAGGCAATTTAAATGCATGAAGGTGCATGATTGAAGTTATGCAAGCTTAATTCAACTTTAAAGTTTAACAAGATGTAGCATGATAATATATATATATATATACGTAATTTACACAAATTGCCACAATTTCATTATTAAAAAATCAACTTACTAAAGATAATGAAAAATGAAAGATATATAGATAATTAAAACAAAATATAGAAACATTTAGTATATTTCTATATATTTTATCTTTAAATTTGTATACATTACCTATATCCCATTATCTATATTCAAG